GTATTAGTGCCGTTGTGAATCTTTTGTGATATGTGCAGTCTGTGGCAATGTCTCTCATTACTGAGGGTACCGGGTTGACAGTTTTCTGGTTGCTGTTCCCCACTGGTAGTTAGGAGCCCTAACTCTTGCGTGGCGTCTTGAGCGGCTGCTCTGATCAACAGTTGCATAATATCGGGGTGTCTGTAGTGCCATATCGCGCATGGAAGAGTGTCTCTGCACGCACTTCCGGAGGGCAACCCCAAGGCCATATTATGTTGCAGGCTGCACCAGCTCCTTTCTGCCCGTGTCACATACGATGACCGTCAGCTACTATTACGTTAGGCCTTCTCACTTTCATTGCCAACATTACCCTTTGATATTTCCTTTTTCCAACATTCGTGGCATTCGGACCAACTTCTGCAGCGTGGAATCGTTCATCGTTGAGAAGTTTCCTGATATACTAGATCTTTTCGAGACCAACCTTGATCCATCAATCCCTTCCTCTGACTTCTCGATTCTTGGTTACCTTCCTCTCCTTAGAAAGGACTCTATTACCCACATGCATGGTCTGAGTGTTTACGCATGAGGCCATCTGCCACTGGCTCGAAAACTCTCTCTCGAATCTCCAGACCATTCATACATGTGTCTCCGTCTATCTTTTCTTCAAATCTATAAGCTATCTCTTTTTTCTCTATCGCTCTCCATCCTCCCAAGACTGGTGTACTCGATTGAATTTCCGATAATATAGACAAGGCTATCTCTCTACATCCATCTGCAAACATATCTGTGTTTGGTGACTTCATTTCCCACTATGCCAAATGGCTTAAACACTCTGTAACTGACCTTCCTGGTATACAAACACTTAACTTTCCAATCACTCAATCTCTCACACTTTTCCTCAGTAACCATGATGCTAAGGCTTCCCTTCTTGATCTCTGTTTTACCTCCATCCCCAAGTCTTTTCGTGCCACGCAGCTCTGCCATCTTGGCATCTCTGATCATCCTGTCGTGTCTGTTAACATCTCCTTCTATTCCTCCTCCAGTAAAGAACCTCCTACCAACAGAACATATTTCTATTATCAACGAGCAGATTGGTACTCGTTTCCTGGATGTTCTCTGGAATGTTGTTTTTAATCTCCCTGTCTAAAAAGGTGCGTCTAAGGTCTCATCCTGGTTAAAAGCTGGAATCGAGGCTTTCATCCCTGCAAGAAAATATAAAGTGAAATCGCGTTCCTCCTCTTGGTTCTCAGCTGCTTGCACAGCTGCTATTGCCCACAGGAATCGATACTTCCGTCTGTACCATAGAGACATGTCTGATTGCAACAGACTACTCTATGTCACTGCCCGTAACGAGTGCAAGCGTGTCCTCAATGAAGCAAAGTTACTCCTTCCCAAAAGAATGAAACAACGTATTGCGTCTCGCAAGTTTGGTTCAAAAGATTATTTACAGGGTTAGGGTTAGTTACTATTTACTCCTGCCTCAATAGTAAATCTGGTATCGTTGACAAAACTAACCTGGCTGCTGATATCAAAAAGGACCTTCAATCTGTGGTTGATTAGGGCAGGAAATGGCTTGTAAACTTTAATGCCTTCAAAATAAAACTGCTCTCCTTTACCCATCACAGAGAACCTTCCCTGTCCCCATCAGTATGGCTGATTTCCAACTCTTCGAGAGCGCCTCATTATGTCTGCTTGGTCTCACACTGTCTACTGGCATGAGGTGGAATAAATGCATTGAATCTATAGCTTCATCTACTGCAAGGAAAGTTGGTTCTCTGTGTCGCGCCAGAAGGTTTTTTTTTGTCTGAGTCCATCCTTCAAATCTATAAATCAACCATCCGACCTTGCATGGGATATTGCTGTCATATATGGTCTAGTGCTGGTTCCCAGACTGCATGAATTTAAGAGAGCTACCTGGCTGGCATCTCGATCCCATCCTTTCATTATCAAAATGATTAAATATAACCGTCTCTTCTACTCAAACAGCTTCTTCTCTTGCACTTCCTGTCCGTGAAACTCCCTTCCCCTTAATTGCTTCCCTGATGACGATAATCTTCAAATATTCAAGTGTAATGTCAATCGACATCTGACATCCTGAGCTTGTTCCCCGTCCTTCTCTGTATCCTTTACCCAAACACGCCTCTTTACTCTTGTTCTCAATCCACTGTAACCCCTTGTGTGCTAGTGGTACTCCTGCCTTGCTTGGGGTGATTTGCTTTAAAAAAAAACTGTTTATAAGTGGATGTTTCGCATCGCATTTGTTACTTATGAATCGCTGATCCCATTGGAGTCATTTCTATCCGTAATTATTATATTTCTAGACCAAATGTTCTGAATGAGAGGGGAACATGCGAGACAGTATCTCCCAAAATGGCTGTGCACAAATTTTCGACCAATTCTGGCAATATATATCAGACTGATTTTTAACGAAAAATATTGCTGTCGGGGCAATCTATTCTTTTTTGGGTGGAAGTTTATTTTCATTTTAATAAAAACTGCGTTTTTAAGGCCTAAATTATGCTCGAACCTATTACGATGAACGACTATTGTCTTGAGTGTATTGTTTTTCGAAATATCCATTTTCTGTTCATATAAACTTTTATTTCAATTCCGTTATGTTTCACCCATGGATTTCCTCGGTGATTTTTAGTCTATTTTTTAAATTACCTACTTCAGATTTTGTGTTGATTAAATCTTTTATTGTTTTTGTTTACGTTTCAGGCAGGAAATAATCCCTACCATATTAAGAATCGAAAGCAAATTGAGTAAAAAATTTTTAAAAATGGCGGCGGAAATATTAGTAAGGAGAGCGAAAAAATATTATGGATGTGTTCGTTTGTTATGGCCGTTCTAGAAAAATTATACAAATCCCTGAATTATTTGAACAAATATTCTCTCTCTTGTAGTTATCAGGTCACACATTTTGACTTGTTTCTTTTTTCATCGCTTAATCGTTATTTTTTAATACAACGATCAAATAGTTTTTTCATTCTACAGTCATTAAATAACTAACTAGGTTGTCCGTCGAGACACGGCCATGTTTAATCTTGGAGACAGAAAGCATTAATCTATGTTTCTTTAGCGCTTTCTTTTCTTAATGCTGGACGAAAACTCCTTAATACTGGACAACTGATGAGATTTAATTATTACGGGTCAGATGACGCGTGATAGGTCTCATCAGCTGTCCAGTATTAAGGAGTTTTTTTGCATGACATTATTGCCGTTCATTGCTACTGTTGTAATGTCACACACTCCCTATCGTCTATATGGACTGACTGTATCAGTAGCTATATATGGTGAGCACAGGATATACCTAACGGCTTGCTTCGGCAATTAGTTAGAGATTCGTCTCCAGCTGTGCTGGTCGAACTCTCCGCCTTAGAGTAGGGAGAAACCCAGACGAGGCTTTGCCGAAGGGCAGAATCTCGTCTGGGATGGTAAACAGCTTCCCGACCCCGTATATACGGGGCCTACGAGATCGGTTTTGCACCGCATTAAAAATGGCCTTGTACCACATCCTGCCTCGCAGGGAGGTTAGGTAAATAACCTTGCTTCAGCAATTAATTGAAGATACGTCACAAGATGTGCTGGTCGAACTCTCTACCTTCGGGCAGAGAGGAACCCAGACGAGGCAATGCCGAAGAGCAGTCTCGTTTAGGGTGGTAGATAGCTACCCGACCCCGTGTATACGGGATCTACAGTGAATTTTTTCCCGAGCCTACGGGATCGGATACCCAACGTTAAATTCGGCCTTGTGCTGCATTTGACCGCGTCGGGCGGTTGGTAAATATCCTTGAATTGGGAATTAGTCTAAAGTTGGAGATTTGTTTCCACCTGGTCTGGTTAAACTCTTTGCCTCCGGGCAGAGAGGATCCCCAGACGAGGCTATGTCGAAGAGCAGAGTCTCGTCTCGGGAAACAGCTACCCAACCCCGTTTTATACGGGGAATTTTTGGCCGAGCCTACGGGTTCGGATACCCCACATTAAATCCTTGCTTCGGGAATTACTAACCTGCCACCCGATTTCCTGTTTTTTAGTAGCGTGTTCTCTTTTACAATAAACCTCTCTTCTTTCATCTACACGCGTGTTGCTGTTCCTTCACTTTAAAGATACAACAGCTACAAATCTAGTCTTATATTTTATTATTGACCACACCCAACATCCTACTGCCGATGTCTTCACCATAAACCTAGTTGCTTCTGGATGCTATACCCTGCCAAAGGTCAACCTTTGATTTGGTCCAAGGGCCATGTCATTAAATAATGAGTATGGATAAAAAAATATATTAGCATAACCTCTGACAAAATCTTGCATCTTGAACCCTCAGGGATTCGTTTTTCATGGACGACGCCTTACTTATATGGTCACGGAAACCTTTCAATAAACAGAATTCAAATTTTTGTACCATTACTAGATATTTATAATTTTTGTTATCATTTCACCTCCAAAAAGGCGGGAATATCACAAGAACGCAGAGGTTTGCAGGAAGTGAAAGTGAAAGTGAAAATGAAAGAAAACTGAGAATAGGGAGGATTGAGGAAACGATAAAAGATGAACAGGGTTCAAGACGATTGATCCTACATTTAATTTTTTGAGGTTTGTAGTTATCAGGGAAGCAAGTAAACGGATGGGGGATCCACAGGTAGGAAGTGCGAGAAAAGAAACTGTTTTAGTAGAAATAGCGGTTGCATTTAGTAATTTCAAAAATAAAACGGTGGGGCCTAAATGCCAATCTAGTAGCACATTGAAATTCATGCAGTCAGGGCACCAGGGCAAAAAGCTCATCAGAGCATTTGCCATGAAAATATTTATAGAAAAAACAGAAGAAAGGTGTCTGGTCAAGATGTATCTATATACATATCGCTAAATTTCTTTTATATGCAAAATCCTTTCAGGACGTGGGCGATCATGGCTCTCTACAGCTTCCTCTCTTAGTAATGTTTTAGCCTTTTACCATCTATCGCTATCATTGTTTTCTCATTCATTTCCACAGACTCATTAAGTAGTAGGTACTCCCATATGTTGAAACACCGTTTCTCGTACGGTTACCGAAGTTAAGAAACGTCAAGCATGGTCAGTACCTAGATGGGTGACCACCTGGAAATTCCAGGTGCTGTAAGCTTGGATGTGTGGGCGGTGTAATGGATAACGGCTCGAAATTGGAAATCAGAGAACGGAGTTCCAATTCCAATCAGGTTCGTTGTATTCACTCCATTGGGAAAGGTATAAATCCGCCCCATCTCCCCTTAGCTATATTATGTTCCAAAAATACTTACGACCTAAAAATATTTTCTGGCTTTAAATAACCTGCAAAAGGTTGATAAGCCGTAATAAAAACAATCAGTCATTAAGTAGTTTACTCGCTGTTACCCCCTGCTTCTCTTACCATCATTATGTCCTGGGAGCGTTATCGCTAGACATTTTGCGTCTTGTTAATAGCATGACACGATCATGAATAGAACGAGTGAGTAAAGCCTTTTCATCATCATCATCACCCTTCGATCTCCCGACGGTCAGTCGGAACTCCATTGACAATCTCTTTCCAAACTGTTCAGTCCTTCATTGCTGTTCGCAGATCCTCAATGTCCAACCCCAAGCCTCGGTGTCTGGGAAAGTTAATTTTCGTGAGAAGGCAATGTACCCAACAGAAAACGATTACCCCAGTTTCCGACCTTGACAGCCACTAATCAAAGGACTATCATTCTAGCCGCCCACTCATTTTTACGATAATAATCTTCTCATGTAGAGAACGTTAATCCGGAACGTAATAATGACAGATATATCATCGCCACCTCCCCAACAGTTGAGAACGGCGACTTTGCGTTTCAGTAAAATAAGACAAAGAAAGGGAAAAAATGCAAAACAAAATATATTACCTCACTTTCCTGTCTTCTTCTGTCTAGCATTATAATAAAACCTCAGTAGTTGACAAAAAACGAACAAGCTTCATTTACACGTCCTATGTATTTACAACTGACCTAGCTAGTCTGAAAATTCTACAGAAGGATGCTAAGGATACCATGGACCGAGCATGTGAGCAACAATGAGGTCTTAGAGAGGTTGCAAACAAGAAGAAGGCTTATTTATACTTAACATCAGGAAGAGACAGCTGAATTTTCTGGGACATATAAGGAGGAAGGAGGGCCTGGAAAATCTGATACTCACGGGTCCAATAGAAGGAAAGAGATACAAGGGAAAACAACGCGTGAGATAACTAGCGGGCTTAAGCAACTGGATGACAGAACGTGGTCTGGGGGAGGAAGTAGAGAGAAGGAACTTGTTGAGAGCTGCAAAGGATAGAAGGAGGTGGAGAGCCATGATCGCGTACGTCCTGAAAGGAGATGGCACATAAAAAGAAGAAGTGACAGTTTTCACTGGATTGGACAATTGTCACATCAGTTGTTTCCTAATATGGCATCAGGCTTGCCGAATCTTTCCCGCCGTTTTTAATCTTATTATCTGTTTAATTAACCGCTTTGTCCAGCGGCCATCTTGTAATAAACTAGTGGTGGAAATTTTATTTGTTCATCATGTCCGTTTTCTGTTCTACAGAAAAGCAAAGTTATTTATGATTAAATAAAATTACGAGTTAAGTGAAAACTTTGTGTGAAGAATTGCCTTCAGCTACTTTTCATTCGTTTTAAAAAAAAAAAAAAAAAAAAAAGACAAAATGATTGTCGACTATCAATTAAAAAATAATTATTTCGGCTTATCTCTCTTCGTCAACATCATATGTGGCATTCTATAATTGTAATTCTTGCCGTGGGCCAAAACAACAGTTATGCACTATTGGTGTGGGTTGACGTCTACATGCAAATGCCTCAAAGATACGTCTCTCAATCACTCACTCTCTATTGCTCTATTCTCTCTTTTTCTCATACACCCACCATCTCTCTCTCTTCCCCCTCTATCTCTCTCGCTCTCTCCCCCTCTCTCTCTCTCGCTCCCCCTCTCTCTCTCTCTCTATATATATATATATATATATATATATATAATATTTCTGCCACTTAAAAGAAACTAATAATACACCTACTGTGAAATGGAAATTAATAAAAAAAGCTAGAATATGTAGGTCATTAAATGACCCATGTCCTTTGCGCATACATAGGAAACTATATCTTACTAAGTTTATAAAAAATAAAAATTTACTTAATCAAAGAAATGAAATAGCTATTCTTTGCCGACATTGTCAAATATTTTCCTTAAGTAATGTTTAAAAAAAAGAAAAACTGATAAATGTAAAATACATAATTATATTTGAAGCATTTAAGCTAGCTCCTGTGGAGGACTCTTGGTTTGGCCATCATCACAATAGCTAGGGAGGAATAGATGCGATAGGCATCAATAAACTACAGAAGAACTCAAAATTAATCGCTGCTTTTAAGTATTAAATTAATGTTTAAGCTTGCCTTTTCTTCTGCTGTCACTTAATTTAAAAACGATTTGATATACATAGACCCTTATTTTCTCAGTTGCCCCTCTATCCTTAGACAGAGAAGCCCCTGAGCGCACTCTACCCAAAGACAGAGACGCGACTGAGAGATGATAAGCCATGCAAGGAGGAATTTTTACAATAAAAGCTCAATATCTATTTTATATAGTTTCTACTTCTAGGTTATATCACTCTTCCGGTTTAACTAATTTGCATGCTGATTTTTAAAAAAGTATATTTCATTAATTAACTGTCCTTCATTAGTGTGCTTTTGTTTAAGGATTGTTTTGATTTTCATATCAAAAAATTCTGTTTAGAAATATTATCTTATATAGTGTAGAAAAGGGTCTGAAATTTTCAACAAGTTGGCATCTATTTGTTAAACTTTTCTTAAGTATAAGAAGCCAATGTATGAATGAAATGTTCATTTAAAATTTTTCTTTCAAAGATTTCAAGTAGCGAATATAACTTACTTTGCGAATCGATTGCGAGCGGGAAAAGCCTGCTAGTGTTTAAGTTATAAAAATCTGTCGGATTAATAAATAAAAACCATCCTGTTCTTTATATATATATATATATATATATATATATATATATATATATATATATATAGTCTTAAGATGTGCTATATTTATGGGATAAAGTGCTCAATATCAGAGATAGAGCGTGTGTAAATATAAAAGTGAACATAGAAGTCAACACTTAGAGGCGACAGTCTGTTTCATCCTGGATGGAATCGTCAGGCCACGAGTGCTGTTATTTTTCTCGAATTTTTCCTGTAAATGACTAAAAGAAAAAGTAGGAAAAATAATGATGTGATTCTATAAAGAAGCAGTTTCCCGCCACAACACAGATCAGCTATATCACGTGATCATTACACCTGCTTTTGGTTGCAATCGAGTTCGTTTGTCTCGACCGTTCCGAAACGATAGCAGTAAACAGACTGTTAACTTCTGTTTAAAATTAACATTCTGCCTTTTATATGTCCGTTAATTTATTTATTCTTGGGAAAATACGTGAAATTTGGTATGGGTGGGGAGCGATAGAGGGGGAAATAGGGAGAGAGGGGAAGTAAGGGGAGCAATTCGATGGAGATTCGTTTTAAATTGAATTTTTTTTTTTTTTTTTTTGGTGAAAAAATAAAAAAACGGAAAATGTAAGGTCAATGCCGTGTAATGAAGAGAGGATTATTTTCTCCTCCTCATTTGGGCAGAAGACAATGGAACGCCGAAACGTTTTAGGCCCAGATCACTCTACAAAATCTGACCGAGTGAGCAAATATTACATTTTTTTAAATCCTCTCTTGGTTGAGCCGAGAACTTTTCAGCGTTTTTTTTTTTTTTTTTTTTTAAATCTGTTCATAACAATAGAGAATAAGATCACCTCCCCAGAGCCAAATATACGCTTGGCACCGAGAATTCTGTAGTGGAGACTTACCTCGGCGACCCAAAAGGGCCAGAGTCCTGTATATGTTTTGCAATAGAGTGTGGAGAAGGCGAACTGGCGAGCTTCGGACTGAAGGTGAATCGGAAAGCACTTCGTGTGGACGGAAGTGGTAGTGTTTCTTGTAGCCATTTTTATTGGCTAGTTCTGGGCGTTGACTGGGTCAGGTGCATAAAAAGCACGGTACGCTCATTCAAGGGCAGTTTTTTTTTTTCGCGTCTAACGAGGAGTGGTCTATTTGAGATTGAGACGTGAAGAGAACTGTGGATTTGTTTTGCCAACTGGACCTATTTGACTCACATATAGTTTTTTTTTTCCCCCGTGTGTACGTCCGACCAATTTTCGCACAAATTCGTAACAATAAAAAAAGAAAAAATCCGATGCAATAGAATGACTTTATGATCCCTATATATTTGACAGGTCCAAGTAGAAAGAAGAAAAAATGCGTGGACAACTAAAATCTTTACAGACAGACTGTAAAATGTCATTCTAAAAATATTACAGACTGTAAAATGTCATTCTAAAAATATTTTCCATTTAACATTTTTAATACTAACGTTCACCTAATACAAGGCCTGAGAGCCACTCAAGATAGAAGTCTGGAGAATTTAACACTCACAAGGTAAGAAGAACAGAGGGAAACATTAAGTAGCCTAATTAAGATTGTGTAAGTTGATGGCAGAACATGGACTGAAAAAGATAGTAAGAAGGCAAACGGAGCTTAATACAGGATTTCCCAACGTGGCCGATTTGGGTGATCAATGAGCAATTGAACAAAAAATGGTCGGTGATTGGAAATTTCAGTGGATGATATAAGATTTTGAATATTAAAAAGGTATTCAAATATATACTACCAGAAAAATATTCAAGGGAAATATGAAAAGAACCCGCGTAAAAAAAAAAAAAAAAAAAAACAGGAGTCTAAACGGCAATAACTTTGTCACTAAGATATAAATACTCCGCAAACAAGGAGTATTTTAGTATTTTCTATACGATTTGCTTTCGTTTTTTTATTAATATGGTAGTAGCAGTAGCCGCCGCCGCGTAAGTCAGCGTTATTTGTTACCACCGAGTGGTATTTTTAGCACAACATAAAGTCTGTTTACGAACCAGTAACAAACATTTACCAAAAAATTTTGTATACTTTTGAATATTTACTATACAGGTAGACAGTGGAAAACGCAAAAAATGTTGAGAACGAAAAAATCGTTGAGAATCCCTCGCTTAGAGCTACAATGGATAGAAAGTTGTGGAGAGCTATGATCTCACAAATCCTGAAAAGACACAACGCATAAAAGAAGCAGACCAGTACTTTTCAAGCTACAAAAGTCTAATTAAATTCTCATATTGTATAGTATAGGCTCACTTCCTTTGTAAAGGATAGTAGGTCATCCACATCGACATTTAGGCATAGGTTCCTCGTATTGTTTGTGCTTTAGATTCGTTATGAAGGAATACACATTTTTGCTGAAAGGTGGCGTAATGTCAAAGGAAGATGAAATGTTAATTTTAACCGTATTTTTTTCCATTGACAGGCACATGTGTATGGTAATGCGAGGAGTACAAAAATTGAACAGTAAGACTGTCACCAGCACAATGTTGGGGGTGTTAAGGGAGGACCCCAAGTCTCGCGAGGAGTTCTTAACTCTCATGAACAACCGGTAAGTATCCCTTTTTCTTTAGCTTTCAATTGTGAAATCGTGAAATGAAAGTTATCCGTCTAGAGCCTTTCATATTAACATGGGTGTCCTACTGTTTTTAATTTTCATTAATGACCTCCCTGATGGCATCGGTTAGTATTTGGTATTTACGCTGATGACACAATTTACTCCTGTCTCGATAAGTAAGGCTAAATTAGTAAGACAAGGTCAAAATGGCAGCCGATGTCTAAAACGACTTCAAGACCGTCGTTAACTGGAGCAAAAAGCGTCTTGTTAATTTTAACACCCCTAAATCTAAACTCCTCTCCATTAATCATCTGAGAAATCCCTCTCTGCTGTCCATCAGCATGGCTGCTGCTATCCTCCAATAAAGTATCTCATTGCACCTTTTCGGGCTGACATTCCCAGCTGAGATGAAGTGGAAAGAATCTATTGAATCCATTGCTAGGTCAGCTGCTAAGAAAGTCGTCCGAGACAATTTTTCTTCCAGAATCTGTCTTGCATATCTATAAGTCTATCATTTGTCCATGCTTAAATTACTGCTGCCATATATAGTCCGGTACCCCTGTTATATACCTAGAGCTCCTCGATAAGATCCAAAGAAGAATCAGCAATATTACGGGTCTTAATCTGGCGGCTCGGCTTCAGTAAATTTCCTACCGCCGTAAGGTTACCTCTCCGTGTCTTTTCTATAAATACTTTCATGGTAATTGTTCGGATCAGCTCTTTGCTATGGTACCTTGACTTTTTTTAATTTAAGAGCATTACTAGAGTGTCGTCGATATCTCATCAATTTACAGTTGAGTTGGCTAGATGTAACCGTAAGTTCTATGTTAACAGTTTCTTCTGTCACACTTCTCGCTTGTGGAACTCCCTTCCGGTTCCATGCTCTCCACTCAACTTTAATCTGCAAACATTTAAATGCAATATGAATTGTTATCTATCGTCTTCCTGATTACTCTTCTTTTGTACTCCCTCCGTAGTAATGTTTCAGTTTTCTAATTCTTCCACCTCCAGTAAACTCCCTGCGTCTTAGTGGCTTAACTTGGAGTGAACTCAATTAAAAAAAATATTCTCTATGCCGCAGTTACAACCGAATCGACTTTTACTTCAGACTAATTTTTTTTAAATGGCGTACAGACGACTTATATTTAAGTTAAGTGTAATACTTTGTATTAAGTGTGTGCAAAAGTTATCAGCGCTCTTTTTTATTCCATTCTAAAAATTGAAAACGGATTTTTGCTGCAAAGTTTTACCCACTTCAAAGGCACATATAGCGTAGGTTCAATATTCCGACCACACCGAGGTAAATTGAGATAATTTACCTCGGTGTTGACCGTGACCTTAACCCTATTTCATCAGAGGAATGAGGAGGGGAGTGTTGCCTTGAAAACGGATCCCAAACCATTAAGAATTAATGTATACTATTAAAGGTCTCTTCGTTAAACACCGTAAACATTTACTAAACCAAAATATTAACCTAAAACATGATTATATTAAATAGTCTTGTCAAACCGACACTTTCAAATGAATGACATGCCTGGCGTCAAACCACAGAGCGATAACAGCTACTGGACCTGAAAATTTGTTTTAAACAAAAGATGTTATAAATTTCAATCGAAAGCGGCTCTGTCAATGATTGCCAGATGTTTCCTTATAAGAAAACGGCTAATATTGCTATTACCATACGTGAGTGGCCAAAATCCATATCCGTCCACTCGAGTATGTCAAAAGAAGGTGACTTTTGTGTGTGTGTGTTTTTTTTACGGTTGACAATTCAGAATTCTCCATCTCTTAGCTTGATTGCCACTCAAGGTTAGAGGGTGTAGTCTACCCTCTTATTTAGCCATAGCTGGGGGGGGGCAAAAACGACCTTAACGTTGCGATCGAGAAAAAGCAAAAATGATAAACAATGAAGATTCAAATTAATGATTTAATAACATATGTTGCGATGGATAAATTTGTCGTCTAAATGCCGTAAAACTAAAAATAATCCTGACATCTCATTTTAACAGATATACAGGGTGCGATGGATAAAGTGTCGTCTAAATGACGCCACAATGGAAGATAACCCTGGCATCTCATTTTGACAGATATACAGGGTGCGATGGATAAATTGTCGTCTAAATGACGCCAAAAATAATTATAACTCTGACATTTCATTTTAACAGATACAATGGATAAATTGTTAAAAAGAATTTGGGATTTTCTTTTTGGTGTGCCAATTTTTATAAATAGGGACGTCCATACAAAACATTATCAGAAAATAAGAGCGATGACTATTGTAAATTTATAGCTAAAGTACCAAAAATTCAATAAAACATTGCAGAGAATATTTTCTTAATTTTTTAAAATTCCTGAATAGTTAAAAATTATATGAAAAAGGAGCTTACATTATATTCCTCAAGCAATTTGTAGAAAAAAGTTAGGTAAACTTCCAATTCTGTCAAGCTTTTAACCTGACAACACCTTAAATAAACACCTACCTCCATGTTAAAGAAAAATGCATTTATGCGATATTTTTAACTAAAAATAATATTTGCTTCATATCAAATTAATTAAACCGCAAATCAGCTAATATTCCTCAAATAAAGTTTCAGAAAAGTATATTTTATTTTCCAAAGATTTTTAATAAAGAGAATTACATTCTGCTGGCAGATGGCTACAAATGACGCTAAAATAAGTGATTTTTAGCGATTTCAGGAGCGAAAACTCGTTCAAATCAATTTAGATTAGTTTTGAAATACAGCAAAGTATTTTGCTTATTGAAAATATTAAATATAATCTATTAGCTTGAAATTAGAACTAAAATAAAAGTCCCAAGAATGATTTTCCATTTTAAAAAATTTATTTTAAACCTGAGGTACCGCATTTCTTTGGAGGTACCTATATATATATTTATTTATTTTTTTAATTTTTTTCTTTTCAGATAGGACGTTTGGACCTCTCTCACATATCGCGGTGTAGCTAAGTGTCTGTGTTGCCAGTTTACAGAAGCGAGTTTCACTGGACAAGTTACAGCCAGTCCGCCATGTTCTTCTCTATTACACTTCATCGACATTTAATATGTACCAACATTGTACAAATGAATCTTAGCTTTGTAAATGTCCAACCAGAGAGCTCTTTAATGGGAAACGGCTGACAATACAAATCTTTATTTAATCAATTTCATCGATTTGTTTCCAACTTGGGTTTTTTGATGGGCTCATAGTAGTTATTTTTTCAACTCTTTATCGATAAACAACACCAATAATCAAGTAAATATTTCCTTAAAAGAAGATTTGCAAGATTTTCTTATAAGGAAGTACAAACGATGTATACAGACATGTTATTTTTATCTAGATCGAAGGAAAGATTTCACGGTTTGTAGAACATTAAATTTATTTCGAAACCAAAAGCAGTTTGTTTCTAATGTGATATAAATATATAAATAAATATAATATATATATATATATATATATATATATATATATATATATATATATATATATATATATATATATATATATATATATATATATATATATATATATATATATATATATATATATATATATATATATATACATATATATATATATATATATATATATATATATATATATATATATATATATATATATATATATATATATATATATATATATATATATATATATATATATATATATATATTATATATATATAATTATTATATATACATAATTATTATATTTATATATAATTATTTAAATTTATCTTCATTTTAATGTTCTGGGTAGGGCGAGTATTACAGTAGTTCAATGATTTAAATCTTTGTTATTGTATTTTGATCGATGCAATCTCCGATCGTCTTTAGCTGCAATTTGCTTAGATTCTATTATTATTGATTCTAATGTGGTTTAAGATCTTCTATCGGGATAAAATTCCCAATTTAGAATTCTTAGTCAGGTTGGCTGTGTTTCGATGTTTTTTTGGTTTTTTTTTTCAGAGACAAAAATGCTGACTGGAAGACTTTCGGCCCATTAGACAAAATCAAACTTTTTCTATTCCAAGATGTAATTATTATTCATTTTAAATATATATCAATTTGAAGTTGGGTGAAAGCGTGTTATTTGTGAAAGCGACATTACTAGTTGAAATTTGAATCTAAAAAGTAATGATCCCTCAAATTCACCCCGTAATTCGTACTTGATAATCTAATAACCTTCACCGTTATTTTCATGTTCATTTGTTTAAATCGCCTATTATCAAGCGACTGGGAGATAATGATCTTATCCTCACTCCGTTCGTTTTAGAGCGATGTTTTCAGGTGAGGTATTATAACAAAAGACATTTGATTATCAATGTTTCCTGAACTACAAATATTTCTTCTTCTTCTTCTCCTTCTTTTTCTTCTTCTATTATTATTATTATTATTATTATTATTATTATTATTATTATTATTATTATTATTATTACTACTACTACTACTACTATTGCTACTGCTGCTATTCTTCATATTATCAAAAATGGTGAATGAATTTAAGTTCTTTTGAATATGGATGTAATTTTTAACATTAATCCGAGATTTTTTATCTATACAATTACATCTATTGTATGTGTAGAAAAACACTTAAAATCATTAAAAATAATATACATACATAGATATATTTATATAAGTATATATGTGCGAATACACAGGCCGTAGACATAAATTTACTCTATTTAAAAAACAGATGTCTACTCAAACACGGAAAGCCAGTAAATATAACGTTTATATTTATATATATATATATATATATATATATATATATATATATATAAAAAACGTTATTTCAGCAAAAATAAATTCTTTTTCTAATGGCACTTTGGAAAATCATGTCAGAATAGAAGTTTTACTTTTCACAGACACACAAACACGCACATATATTCTTTCAATCTCTTACAATGCTTTATTTCATTCATATATATATATATATATATATATATATATATATATATATATATATATATATATATATATAAAGAAAAGGTAATACGTAATAAAAAGTAAGGTATTAATAATTTCTTTTTACTAATTATTAATAAGATATTCGGTTGTTATGATGTCACTAGTCATAATATTTGCTTATTAATGCTTTTAGTTACCTTAACAATGGACTATCTCATTATAACATAAGGCAAGCCCGAGGAATATATAATGTTAATTTGTCTCTTATATTATGCAATTAGTAGCAATTCGATGCTGCAAATCTGTAGAACAGTTGTATCCAACCAGATTTGATCTTGATCAGTGTTGACCAAATATCAGTTCTTTTCCTTAGCTAAGATTCATTTATTTATCACACTGATCTTTATCGAAATTTAGAAACATTTCTTACACACGTCTCTTTGGTTGAGCAAAAGAATCTTTTTCTTTTTTTTGCATTTGTAATTATTAGCCGTGTCTCTTAAATATATTTCAATCTATCCAGTCCAGCTATTTTCATTCATAAAACAAAAATAAAAAACAAAAAACAAAAAAACAAATAGTGTATTGTCATCGGCAAAAGAAAACAAATCATTACATTATTTTGTTGGTTTTGGGGGTCAACCTAGGTCAAATGTCAAATTCTTCTTGAATTCCCTGAGATCTGAGAACATTTCAGATCTTTCTGCGTCTAACGCAAAATCAACACATTCCATAGTTTTAATTTTGGTCTACCATACGACAATCTCTGACTTTCAGTCTTACCAAAAATTTTCAAATATATATATATATATATATATATGAAGAAGAGGTTATAGTAGTTCCAACGAGAGAAAAGTGTGTATATTAAAAAGAAGAGAGAAACCGCAAACGCTTTTGGTTGTAATGTGGATTTTTTTTTTAAAAATATTATGCTTTATTTTCCATAATTTTGCTACATGTGTTCCTGGTCTCGCGACCGCCATCAGGCAAAGGGTGAAGATTTCCACATATTATTAAAAAATAATTAATTTCCTTTGCCTGATGACGGGCACGAGAGCGGAAACACGTGTAGCAAGGTTATGGAAAATAAAGTATAATATTTTTTTTTAAAATTCCACATTACAACCAAAAACGTTTGCGGTTTCTTCTTTCTAATATATATATATATATATATATATATATATATATATATATATATATATATATATATATATATATATATATATAAGAAATTAAATGAGAACGAATTAAATATACATTCAAACGTTCATACATTAATTTAAAACTAGGGCTCGATACAGTAGTAGATCAATAATTTTTTATTATAGGATTTTACATTCAAACATATGTAACCGCTACAACAATATATCCATGTTTCGATGCATATCATAGCATCTCATCAGGGGTGGTAAGTGAAAGTTATTACAATTTTTAATATTTACCTCTTAAGAGTCTCTTTTCCCGTGAAAAAAAGAAAAGCTAGATATAAGATATTGTTACTTCTGAAAGAAATTTTTAGGAATATATCTTGTGTCTTTCTTTCTTTTTTCTTTTAAAGGTAACTATATCTTATGACTTCCTTGCTTTTCTTTCTTCACGGGAAAAGAGATTGTTAGCAGGTAAATATTAAAAAAAATTGTAATAACTTTCACTTACCACCCCTGAGGAGATGCTATGATATGCATCGAAACATAAATTCATTGATATAGCGGGTACATATGTTCGAATGCAATATCCTATAATGCAAAAATCCTATATATATATATAGAATATATATATATATATATATATATATATATATATATAGGTGTGTGCATGAGAATTTAAAATATAAAAATAGACAAAGGTCAATAACGAGTGGCAACAGTCTGTTTTATGCTTGAACGTAATCTTCAGGCCATCTTTTAATAAGTACATAAGCTCTATCCTTGATATTAAACACTCTTACCCATAAATAATGCATACCCTAAAACTATATTTTTATCATATATATATATATATATATATATATATATATATATATAAGTGAACACTGATTGCAACTAACATGAAACAGACTGTCACCTCTAAGTTTTGACTTCAATCTATCTCTGATGTTGAGCACTTTATCCCATAAATATAGCACATCTTAAGACTATATTTCTTATATATATATATATATATATATATATATATATATATATATATTTAGATCAATTTCATTTCGATTTCATTTTTGCCTTGAAAAAGTCGGAAGATGAAACGCGTCGGCAAAATCTACGATTTTTTTTGTCTAATTGTCATTTATATATATATATATATATATATATATATATATATATATATATATATATGTAGTTGCATTGATGTGAGTTTGTGACCCTGGGTTTTTCGCTATTTGCGATCCTCAGAGAAATTGATTAATTTTTAAATTTGGGATTTATATATGGTTGTCTTTATGGTAGTGGGAGGAAAAATTGTTGTCGGAACGCCACTCATACGTCTGCAGACATACATACACGTTCACGCATTACAGCTTACACAAACATAAACATATATGAACAGTGTGGGACTGGGCGTATATGCTCATCCATGTGTCGTTGCGTGTATACGTACGCAATTGGTCGTTGTATTCAATGTTGGATTGTGTAGCGAACTTCTTTCGCAAATCACAGTGTAAACGCACAGACAGTTCGTCTATTTTGTTTGCGGAATAATGTTTCTTCACACACACATATATACGTACGCACGCATGCTCACACGTCTTCTATCCGTCTGATTATTTTTTTTACCATAAGATGGGGCCTGTATAAGACTGTGGTAGTTTTTTTTTTCATTTTATGTAAATGGTAGGAACTCTAATTTATAATACCTATTGGTATTTATATGGTGGTATTAATTTTGCTGGGGAAAGGAAGTATAATTGTGGACTGATGCGATAATGGTAATTGTGGTGCGGTAGTAATTGTGAACTAATGCGTCAATGGTAATTGTGATGCGATAGTAATGGTGGGAGAAGCGGGTGATCATAATAACAATTGT